CCCATATATGTGTGTGCCCCTGGTATCTGTGTGCCCGTGTGTGTGTGTGCCCATGGTGTGTGTGTACCCATATATGTGTGTGCCCCTATTGTCTGTGTGCCCGTGTGTGTATGTGCCCCTGGTGTCTATGTGCCCATGTCTGTCTGTGTGCCTGTGTGTGTGTGTGTATGTGACCCTGGTGTCCGTGTGCCTGTGTGTGTGTGTGTGTGTATGTATGTGCCCCTGGTGTCTGTGTGCCTGTGTGTGTGTGTGTATGTGCCCCTGGTGTCTGTGTGCCTGTGTGTGTGTGTATGTGCCCCTGGTGTGTGTGTGCCTGTGTGTGTGCCCCTGGTGTCTGTGTGCCTGTGTGTGTGTGTGTATGTGCCCCTGGTGCCTGTGTGCCCGCGTGTGTGTGTGTATGTGTGCCTAATAGTGTGTGTGTGTATGTGCCCCTGGTGTCTGTGTGCCTGTGTGTGTGTGTGTATGTGCCCCTGGTGTGTGTGTGCCTGTGTGTGTGTGCCCCTGGTGTCTGTGTGCCTGTGTGTGTGTGTGTGTGCCCCTGGTGTCTGTGTGCCCGTGTGTGTGTGTGCGTGTATGTGCCCCTGGTGTCTGTGTGCCTCTGTGTGTGTGTGTATGTGCCCCTGGTGTGTGTGCCCATGGTGTGTGTGTGCCCATGTGTGTGTGCCCCAGGTGTCTGTGTGCCCATGGTGTGTGTGTGCCCCTGGTGTGTGTGCCCATGGTGTCTATGTGTCCATGTGTGTGTGTCTATGTGTGTGTGCTCGTGTGTGCCCTTGTGTGTGTGCCCTGGTGTCTGTGTGCCCGTGTATGTGTGTGTGTGCCATGTGTGTCTGTGTGCCTTTTTGTGTGTGTGCACCCCTGTTCATAAATAAAGTGCATGGCAGACTGGCCAGTAAATGTCACTCTGTATCAGTTAGGGGACCATAAAAGAAGGAAACCCTTATTGATAGAAATATGAATATTTCACTTTGAACAATATTTGCGAACATTTAAAATTACTTCTGAAGTTATACTTGGTGTCTCAAACTTTAAAAATATGCCCATAGTCTATAAATATTTTTCCTCTACCAAAAATAATGTTTAGCGTCAGTCAGTAATATTCTCTTGTTTCCAGTTCAGCTGGGGATTTGGGACAGAAAGGAAAGGCAGGGGTGGCCATGGATGGACTGGTCCAGAGCTGCACACTGAGGCCGCGTTAAGGGAACGTTTTAGTATAATACATATTATTTATTATGCTTATGCACTTCTGTTCATATTCTAGTTCTAAGGTAAACTAGATTGTAAACCTAAAATATTTTTGAGACTATGTGTCATTAAATTGTTTAGCAGAAAAATAAACATATTTAAGGCAGCCAAATCTCTTCATGTATTTTCCCAGCTGAATTACATTCTTAATTTTCTTCCTTGCGCATGTATTATATAGCAAATCATACTTTGCCCATAAAATATAAAAGTGTTCATTTTTCTCTGTCTTTAGAAATAAAAATTTAATTAAAATGGCAGTATATTTGATGTTTTAGAAAAGAGGCAAATACCAAGGGAAGGAAAGAACACAATTGTAAAAACCGTCTTCGTTACACCGTGCATTACTGGGGCCCTTTCCAGCCCTCCAGTCCTTTCCTTCCTCCTGTGTGCCGGCCAGTCTTTCTATAATGAGGCAATGCTGGAGCCACAGGTTTGTTTTGTTTTGTTTTGTTTTTTTAATAACAAAAAAAGTGGGGTTTTTTTAAATCTTGAGTTAAATGGAATATTAAGTTACTCACAACATTCCAATCTCCACACAATTTAAACTACATTCTACTGTGGTTGTCTGTTTTCTCTGATGAAGTTGAAACTGAAAACTCCATGTGCAATGTCTGGCTTCTAGAATGTTAATATTTACAGTGGTATTCCTGGGCTAGAATGGCCTTTTCTCCTCAGTGACCACATAAAAGGTCATTAGTTATTACCGGCCCTGATCAGTGGTTAGGAGTGGTGCCTCATCGGAAGACAGCATCGCGAACAACACAGCTAGAATAGAAAAATTAGGCTAATTGTTAATCACAGGGTCGATATTCTTGAGATATCTGCAACCAAGAATCTAATCAGAGAAAAGATAAAACTAAAAGATTATCTCCATCACCTCCCCACTATATTGAAAACACATCATATTGTTGTCATTTAATCACTAACTTAATAACTTTCAGGTGTATACAGAGCCTTTATTAGCCTTTACTGGCTCAAAAGTGCTCTAAATCCAGTAACAATGTGTCCGGTTTGAGAACTTAACTGAATCATTAAGTAGTTAAAGGTGAACATTGTTTCTGCAAAGAACATTTCCATCCAATGTTTCTGCCTTTCTTTTTACATCTCAAGTAAGCCACCCACAGTCTGTCAAAGGTGAAATTTTATACCTTTCTATCCCTTTTCTACCTATGAGAGGTTTTATAGAGTGTGAAGCAAATACAAGGCCGTGTCCTCAGCAGTATTCTGTTTCCATCTTTGTTGAGATTGTAACTTGAGGCTGGACGCCCATAGCTCAGTGGTTAGGCCACCAGCCACATGCTCTAGGACCTGGTGGGTTCGAACCCCACCTGGGCCTGCTCAACAAAAAAGTAGCAGGGTGTTGTGGCGGGTTCCTATAGTCCCAGCTACTTGGGATGCTGAGGCAAGAGAATCACTTGAGCCCAAGAGTTGGAGGTTGCTGTGAGCTATGATGCAAGAGCACTCTAACGAGGGCAACAAAGTAACACTCTGTCTCGATAAAAAAATAAAGACCGCAATTTGAGGGAAGGAGCCTTCTATAGCTTATAGGCTTTAAGAATGTGAGTTCTACCTAAATTCTTCCTTCAGATATAAGGGGCATTTTTTATTGTAAAAATCATTTTATTTTACTTAATGATCCTTGTAAGTAGTCAGAAAGGCCACAGCCTATTTTTTCTAATTTCCATCTCCCAGAATGCCAAATGCTACTTCTGGTGATGGCATCTCTCGTCCTTTTTGTTCAAACTAACTTGACAGGAACAGGGATTCAAACATCCAAAGCCTAATAATTTTCTTAATAATAACTGATTTAACGATATGAAAATCTGGTAAATGTTATCTGGAGTAACTGTCATGAGTCTAGGAGGGAGACAAACACAAGGTGTTGGTTATGTTAATTAATGTGTTTTTATTTCTCTAGAACCCACGAAGATAGAACTTACTCCTAAAAGGACAGAACTAACAGTGGGAGAAAGCGTCGTTCTGAGTTGCAAAGCAATTCACGATTCGAGTTTGGATGTCACTTTCTATTGGACACTGAAAGGACAGCCTATTGATTTTGAGAAAGATGGTGGACATTTTGAAAACATCAGGGCCGTAAGTGAAAACACTTTTATTTTTTGTGTAATAATAATTTTAGAAATTTTGAGTCAAATGTAAAAATTCTGATCTATGATACGCTAAGAAAAAATAGGGAAAAAGTCCATGTGATACACAATTACTTTCTTCAATGATTTTATGTTATGTTGAACTGAAAAAAAGGGATAACGTCATTATTTTAAAACTCTGTGTCATAAATTAAAAATACTTGATCATGTGAATCATATTTCTTTGCCACTTTTATTCATTTGATTAGTATTGTCAAATTTACACAATACTACTCAAAAGTCAAGTTACTACATAAAGTGGATATTGCATTATTTAGGGCATCGTTATAATAAATAAATGAAATAAGTCTGCCTGTCCTACTCCTCAAGAACTAGTAATTTTTGGAGATTCTTTAATTTATCACAAGCTATAGAGTTAACTATGCACCCCATAGTCAGAAATGCTCATCGGCCTTGAGTCAGGTCCACGGATACACTTCTTTCTTGCCCCCACATCTCATCCTCTCAGTATCTCCGTTTATGTTATGTATCTACAGGGCAATCAACCAAATGCACTGGGAAACCTCTTGAACCAAGGTCTTTAGAACAATTACAGTGTCTTAACTCTATAAGAAGTGCAAAAGGCCCCCACCTCGGTGACTTGTTTAAAACATAAAGAGGAACATAACCGGCAGGGAGAGAGAGAGAGAGACAGATGGGACTGGGGTGGCAGAAAAAGAGAGATTTTGGCTGGAATCTTCCTTCTATCAGCTAAACAGATAAATCCAAATACAATTTTTGCCTACCAATTGAATTTAAAATGCTGTCACATACTTATTAATATCATTTTATTCTTCTCTAAACATTTTGAGAAGCATTGGACAAACCATAGCTATAGTGAGTCCGAACATTTAAACAATCAGTCAGATTTTTATTTTAAAGGTTATATGATGTGAGGGGAAAAAGACCTGAATCCAAAACCAAGAATTCGTTGGGTCAAGTCTCAGCTCAACCCCACACGGCTGGGTAACATAAAGCCACGTGATTTGCCTGGGCATTAATATCATAAAGAAATAACATAAAAACTTTGGATCAGATAATCTCTAAGATACCTCCTCACTTTAGAATCTGATAAATTTATATTAGCATAAGATTAAAGATGAGTCTTCTTTGCTGGATTTGCCAATTAAACACTTTCTTCCAAATTATTTCTTTCATCTTGATTTATTTTGCAATTAGTAAGAAAGCCTACATAAATAAGAAACAGCAAGTACCTTGTTCACCATCTCATTAAAAAAATTATTTTGATTAATAATAGCTACAGCATATTCAAAATATTTAGATCATGTTAAATCGAAGTCATTTTCTTCTGTTTTGTGGTTTTCCTCCTTCCTTTTCCTTTGGTTGATAATTCCTTCCTCCACCTTTTATAACATGACTGATATAAAGCAGAACCAGGATAATGTGATTTTTAAAAACCTCATCAAAATACGTAGCTCCTTAGGATTGTCTGCAAACATCCATTGTGAGTGAATAGATATATAAGTCTTTTAAGTCTAAAATGAATAAATGGACTTTTAGATAAGTATTCCCCCTCTTTATTTTAAAATACAGTAGAGAAAGGCCACATGGAAGTTACATAAATTCTTGTTCTTGTCGCTTAGAATGTCCCCTTTAGGGTCACGTCATTCTTTTGTGGCAAGAAATGCCTTCAAATGTTTCCATCAGCTGGCGGTTAATACCACACGCTGCGTCCCCCTCGGCATAGATGCTGTTCATGCTCCCACAAGTGCAGAATTTACCCCTTATTTCATGCAATCTCCGACCGTTACAAGCCGTGTTAGAATTAGGCTATGGATTGGAGGCAGTGATGATAATAAACTCTAAGAGAACAACAAAGCTAATTCTTGTACTGAGAAGTGAGAAAAACATTAGTTTCAGGTATAAAGCAAAAATATTCTTTTAGCATATTTGCAAAATTTGCAGAAATGTCTATGTACTTAAAAATATGTGGAAGCTTCAGAACCATAAAGTGTCTTCAACCATCACTTTTCTCTCCATGACCTTAAATACTGATGGGGTCCTGGCTGGCTTTGAGGATGTCCACTGGAGAGAAAACCATCGCATGACAATGAAAAGCCAAGGGGAAGAAAGAATAACACTCTGCCCTTATCCATGTGAAATATGTCTGGGAAATAACATGTTTTAGGAGGAAAAATAAAAATATTAGAAAGGAGGGAGATTGCGGGAGCCCCCTGGGCTTGTGAGTCCCTCCAAGGGGAGACCAGGAGTAGACTCCAAAGAGAGCCAAGGGGACGACCTCAGGGCTGCTCTGATGTCTCAGTGAACATTAGTGAAGGGTCCTTAAGGGGTCACCTTAAGAGCATGGCCTATCTCAGCAGAGTAACAAAGTCGATTGGAATTCAGAGACTAAGGCAGGAATGAAGTGTGCCTTTGATTAGAGAACTCTTTGGAGTTCTCCTGGGACCAAACCCTGCAAGTGCATGATTGAACGGGGCTAAATCAAAGGAGAAACATGCCCATTTCACAGGGTGAAATAAATTAACCAAATTTCCAGGGAGAAAGGAAGAGATACCAGTGTGTTCATGGTTAACATCTTGACATAAGGACCTTTGTTATTTATCTACTCAGTGTATGTGCTGGTATCTTTATACACAAGCCAACTACAGTTTATAGACAAAGCAGGAGTCACATTTTATACGTAGTGCACATGACATCTACATACAACCTCACTGTCATGTTCTAAATACACTAGTGCTTCTGGACTGCATTTCAAGAGAGTAAATAAACACCTAATCACATCAAGTTAAAAAGTAATAGTGTTGCTTTAAAATTTAAATTAAAACATCTTGAATGAAAATGCTTCTACTATTTGTCTTGTCCTCTTTCCTTAGGCCATTTTCACAAACCCCACAGTCTGACTAGTTTGGAGTGAATCCATTACTGAAGTCACACAGGGAGGCCCGGCCCCCAGTCCATAGACGTCTGACCCAATTCATTCAAATCACTGCTGGGGCAAATTGTATGACTGAAATGAACATGGCAAATAGTGAGACTATTCTTATGATTTTAATTCAGTCGAGTTCTACAAGCTAAGTGTTTGGGGGATCCAAACAGGACAAGGCCCTTCACCTCTAAGAGAGCACTGTGTAAGGGGAGAGCGTGCAGGGTGGCCTGTGACTGCCACAGCAGAGCTGTCTGCCGAGTACGATGTGTGCAGCTGGCACAAGTTGTCCGTATTGGAAATGGACCTGGATAAGGCGGATTTTTCCAGGCACCTAGAAGAAACTGCATTTCAAACAGAGGACAAAGAGTCAGAAGAGTTAGTATGTATTTCAGAAACACTGAGGAAGCAGTGGTCAGACAGCACGGAGAGGACGTACAGCAGACAAGAAGTCAATATTTGTTGAATAAATTTAAAGGAAGGCAGCAGAGTCCTCTTTGCAAAAGACACTGATTTCTTAGCTGTAGGATCTGAGTTGTATTTTGAGCGCAGAGGAATCCATGTGGTTCAGATTTGCTCCTTAGGCAGAGAATTCTGACAGCTGTGCAGAGCAGAGATTGGAAAGTTTACAGTGGATTTTACATGTGGTCTAGATTCATTAAGCAGAGGTTACAGTATAGAGCCATTATGAGTTTTGACCTTAAATCACCATCCTGTTATCAAATAAGAACACTGACAATTGTTTGTGTTGGTCAGAGGTCTGCAAGAGCCTCCTATTCTTCTCAGGATGTCTCAGGAGCACCTGAACCCTGTCTCCCGACCCAAACCTCAGTCGATGAGGACTGTGGTGAACCATGGTTTTCCAGTGACTTGAAATCCTCTAATTCCATGTGGCATATAAGCAAGTTTCAGTCCTCATAATGCGTAATGAACTGTTATACTGAATGTCATGGTAGCCTGCAATTGGGTAGGTTTTTGGAAGAGAAAAGAATCTCACATATTTGTCATCAGGATGGTCTGCTAGGCCCCTTTCCTGTTTCCACTGTGAATTCCCACTCTGAACGTGCTACACTGCAGCTGAGGGGGCAACTGAGCCCCTGAGACTTGTAGCTTTTCTATTTCCGGACCCCTTCTCCCAGTTGTCATCTCACACAATATGTGCAGGAAGGCAGGGTGCAGATTTTGACCCCAGTTTTAGGGAAGGAGATTTGAAGAATAAGCCTTTTCCAAACCAGAATACTAAACCAGAGTCAAAGACTGACAACCATGTGATGTGTAAACTGCATCATGTCGCCTCTGCTTTCTAAAGCTTGCCACCCTCAGACCCACTGACCACCATTATGTGTTCAGTCCTGTCTATAATCTGCAGTAAGGACGAAAGAAAGATTCAGTCCCAGTCTTCAGTAAGAGTAAGATTGATAAAGGGATATTAAGTAATTCAAGAAAAATATGGTGGTAAAAAGCAATCACTAAGTTTTTAAGTCTTAGCCAAATATTGTTGAAGGCCAGGAAAGAGATTAACGTGACTGTGTTGTCACTGGGGAGGAAAGCAAGATAAGAAATTAACTGAGTAACTACTGAGTGACTTACAGTGAGCTAAAAATACATACATACTTACACACACACACTATGCACCTACACACACACTCACACCTGCATGCACACACACTCACACCTGCACACACACACCATGCACATACACACACTCACACCTGCGCACACACACACTCATACAAACACACAGACACTTACACACACACACCATGCACCCACACACACTCATATACACACATACACCATGCACCTACACACACACACCTGCACGTACACACACACACTCACGCCTGCACACACACACCATGCACATACACACACTCATACAAACACATATACACTCACACCTGCACGCACACACCATGCACATACACACACTCATGCAAACACACATACACTCACACCTGCACATGTACACCATGCACATACACACACCCACACACACGCATTCACTCACACCTGCACACACACACCATGCACATACACACACT